CAAGCGGCAGGCATGACAGCGTCAATCGTCATCATCAGGTGGGAGAGCGTCGCATCGTCGGCAACAAGAATTCTGAACAGCACTGCCGGTGGTCACAGCGGCGGCAGCAGCAGTATCATCATCAGTATCATCAGCAGCAGGCTTGGCAGTATCATCATCAGCAGCAGTATCATCAGCAGCAGCAGTATCATCAGCAGCAGTATCATCAGCAGCAGCAGGCTTGGCAGTATCATCATCAGCAGGCGTAGTCGCATCATCAGCAGCAGCAGCAGCAGGCTTTGCGGTGTCATCAGCAGGCTTGGCAGTATCAGCAGCAGTATCATCATCAGGCTTGGCAGTGTCGCCGTCATCAGCAGCAGCATCGTCATCAGCAAGCGGCAGGCATGACAGCGTCAATCGTCATCATCAGGTGGGAGAGCGTCACATCGTCGGCAACAAGAATTCTGAACAGCACTGCCGGTGGTCACAGCGGCGGCAGCAGCAGCATCATCATCAGTATCATCAGCAGCAGGCTTGGCAGTATCATCATCATCAGCAGCAGTATCATCAGCAGCAGCAGTATCATCAGCAGCAGCAGGCTTGGCAGTATCATCATCAGCAGGCGTAGTCGCATCATCAGCAGCAGCAGCAGCAGGCTTTGCGGTGTCATCATCAGCAGGCTTGGCAGTATCATCATCAGCAGCAGTATCACCATCATCAGCGGCACGCTTGGCAGTGTCATCATCAGCAGCAGCAGCAGCAGCATCGTCATCGGCAAGCGGCAGGCATGACAGCGTCAATCGTCATCATCAGGTGGGAGAGCGTCGCATCGTCGGCAACAAGAATTCTGAACAGCACTGCCGGTGGTCGTAGCAGCAGCAGCAGCGGCATCATCAGCAGCAGCGGCATCATCATCAGCAGCGGCCGCCTCGCCGTGGCCGCAACCGTGGATCGTCACGACGGCGGGGACGGACCTCGTTAACCTTCCTCCTCGTCGCCTCGCGGCTGCCCCCCTCCCCGCCTCCCCAGACCAACCGGACTCGGCTCACCAAGGAGAGAGACCCAGGGATCGATTCGGGGAGGACAATCGCAACAAGCCCAACCCCAACGCAGGTAATCAGCGGCGGCGTTGGCGTTGACTCGCCTGTGAGAGGACCCGGGGCTCGTTGAGCGCGCCCAAATCATCTTTGGCCTGCCACGTGGGGAGCGGTGGGAACGGGGTGGGAACGGGGGGGGGGGGGGGGGGACCCCCCTACGGCACGGGTCGGCGAGCTGTGGGGCCCGTGAGCCAGATGTGGCTCTTTCCACGGCTGCATCTGGCTCGCAAAGTAAGCCTTGGCTGGCGCTTCTTGACACGATAAGACTTATTCTTGGCTCTTTCGGTAAAGTCACCACCACGTAGAAGGGAAACAATAAAATATATGTAAAACAATAAAATTATTGTAAAACAATAAAATTATTATTCTTGGCTCTTTTGGTAAAGTCACCACCACGTAGAAGGGAAACAATAAAATAATAAAATATATATAAAACATTAAAATTATTGTAAAACAATAAAATTATTATTCTTGGCTCTTTCGGTAAAGTCACCACCATGTAGAAGGGAAACAATAAAATTAAACAAAATATATATAAAACAATAAAATTATTGTAAAACAATAAAATTATTATTCTTGGCTCTTTCGGTAAAGTCACCACGTAGAAGGGAAACAATAAAATAATAAAATATATGTAAAACAATAAAATTATTGTAAAACAATAAAATTATTATTCTTGGCTCTTTCGGTAAAGTCACCACCACGTAGAAGGGAAACAATAAAATAATAAAAATATAAAACAATAAAATTATTGTAAAACACTAAAATTATTATTCTTGGTTCTTTCGGTAAAGTCACCACGTAGAAGGGAAACAATAAAATAATACAAATATAAAACAATAATATTATTGTAAAACAATAAAATTATTATTCTTGGCTCTTTCGGTAAAGTCACCACGTAGAAGGGAAGCAATAAAATTAAACAAAATATATATAAAACAATAAAAATTCTCACGACGTTTCGACCGTAACACAAACGGTCGTCATCAGGTGTGCCGGTTTGCATAAACTTATTTATTTTTAAACGGTGTTTTCATTTATAAAAAAACGTCAGCGCCACGCGCAGCGATTTTTCAGTTTATTTAGAAGGACGAGTCCATCTATGTTCTGAAAAGATAGAGGGGGGGAGACGAAAAATTAATGTACGCTGTCTGAAAGCCACCGTAAGCGTGATCAATGCTAAATTCTCCTGTTTGATATGTAAACCCCCTTTGTCAAGGTGCCTCACTTCTCTAAACCAGCTTAAAAAGACGCCAGTTTAACACGTAGGCTTTCGCGACCAATATTATTCATAATAAAGGTTTTTGGGTTGGACGCTTCGAATCTTAACAACGTTCACTGAAGCTCTGTCGTCCCGACAGGTCTGTTCCTTTCACCTGAAGAAGGCCTCTTGTTTTCTTAGTTCTTTCGGTAAAGTCACGTTGAAGGGAAACAACAAAATATATAAAATATATAATAACAATTCTCACGACGTTTCGACCATAACACAAACGGTCGTCTTGAGGTGTGTTGGTTTGCATAAATGTATTTTTAAATGCACCGTTTGCATAAATTTATTTTTAAATGCACCGTTTAAAAATAAATTAATGCAAACCAACACACCTGAAGACGACCGTTTGTGTTATGGTCGAAACGTCGTGAGAATTGTTATTATATATTTTATTATTTTGTTGTTTCCCTTCAACGTGACTCTACCGAAAGAACTAAGAATATGAATTACTGCCGTCACGAAAGCTTTAAATCAAAATTTAAGGCCGCTTGTGTTGTGGCCGAAACGCCGTGAGAATTTCATCGCGTTAATTTATCAATTTATTATTTTATTCTCATTCTACGTGGTGGTGACTTTACCGAAAGCACCAAAGAAAATTAACTCCTTTGAAAAGGTTTAATTTTTTTAAAAAGAACTTTGTTTAGCTCGCGTTCGGGAAGTGCGTCAATGGCGCGTCGCCGGGATCTCCCGTCAACGCTCACTTGGATCATCTTCTTTGGTTCTTTCGGTAAAGTCACCACCATGTGGAATGAGAGTAAAATAATAAATTGATCAAATAAAAATAACGCGATAATAATATTCCCACGACGTTTTCGGCCACAACACAAGCGGCCTTCATCAGGTGAAGGGGACGAGGCTGTCTGGTAGGACAGCGCTGGAGTGATGTGAGCGTGGCTTTTTCACTCCAGCGCTGTCCTACCAGACAGTCTCGTTCCCCTCACCTGATGGAGGCCGCTTGTGCTGTGGCCGAAACGTCGTGTTAGAATATTATCGCGTTATTCTATTTTATCAATGTATTATTTTACTCTCATTCTTACGTGGTGGTGACTTTACCGAAAGAACCAAAGAAGATTAATCCTTGCAGTTACACGAAAAGCTTTAAATCGAAATGTACTTGAATCAATTGATCACACGGAGCAGGCGATTGTAGAGTTTTCGGGATCGTGGGGTGTTTGACCTACACACGCAAAAATATATATAATCAGTAATAATGAGGCGTCCATACGAAATGTGAATTGCTTCCGAGTCGCAAATTAATTGATTACGGTAATCGATGGTGGCATGCATTGTCACCGGATCTGGGTGCTTGTGCACAATTTGGAATTCATTGGACAACAGGAGGCGGACTAACTTTTGGGTTTCGCCAAAAACCTTGCATTGCGAGGGTAATTTGCGCTCGTAATCCAAAGCACCTCGTATGGCAGGGCGAATTTCCCCGTAAGAAATGATGGAAACTCGGATGATTCGTTCCACGACCCAACAAAAAAAGGTGTTCGTATAAAAATTCTTAATGCAAAATACTGTACCTTATAGTTAGTTTTCTTTGAATTTAATGTGAAGTAATCGAATTTATTGATTACATTTAATCGCGGCTGGTGTGAGGGAGATGAGAGCGTGGAGGAGGAGGGGGGTTATTATTGCAGTACAAGTTGCTAAAGAACAGTCGCTACACTTGGACACAAAATTAAAAAAATGCTTTATGCACACACACGTAGGAAACAATACACACGTGGTCACAACACTATAGTACTGTAGTAAACAGTACACACGTGGTCACAACACTATAGTACTGTAGTAAACAGTATACACGTAGTCACAACACTATAGTACTATAGTAAACAGTATACACGTCGTCACAACACTATAGTACTGTAGTAAACAGTATACACGTGGTCACAACACTATGGTACTGTAGTAAACAGTATACACGTGGTCACAACACTATGGTACTGTAGTAAACAGTATACACGTGGTCACAACACTATAGTACTATAGTAAACAGTACACACGTGGTCACAACACTATAGTACTGTAGTAAACAGTACACACGTGGTCACAACACTATAGTACTGTAGTAAACAGTATACACGTGGTCACAATACTATAGTACTGTAGTAAACAGTACACACGTGGTCACAACACTATAGTACTGTAGTAAACAATATACACGTGGTCACAACACTATAGTACTGTAGTAAACAGTATACACGTGGTCACAACACTATAGTACTGTAGAAAACAGTATACACGTGGTCACAACACTATAGTACTGTAGTAAACAGAGACACCCAGACCCAGGGCTTGAACCCAGGCTCTCAGTGTCTCCGACACGGCCCTCGTGAACCCCCTGAGAGAGAGACCCAGACCCAGGGCTTGAACCCAGGCTCTGTCTCTGACACGACCATCGTGAACCCCCTGAGAGAGAGACACCCAGACCCAGGGCTTGAACCCAGGCTCTCAGTGTCTCTGACACGGCCATCGTGAACCCCCTGAGAGAGAGACACCCAGGGCTTGACACAGACAGCCATTGTGAACTCCATGCGAGGTGAAACATGTGTGGATTTGCGTGGTTTGCTACGTACAGTGCGAAAGAAGTTCAACATACATAGACCCATAGTCTCGCAGAGAGACCCACAGACTACTCGCACAGAGACGTATAGACTACTCACACAGACTACTCGCACACACACACAGACCCACAGACTCATCGCAAACACAGAAACCCACATACTCATCGCACACACACAGACCCACAGACTACTCAACACACAGACCCACAGACTCATCACAGTGAGACCCACAGACTACTCGCACAGAAACGTATGGACTACTCACACAGACCCACAGACTACTCACACAGAGACACATAGACTACTCACACAGACTACTCACACACACAGAGACCCACAGACTCATCGCAAACACACAGAAACCCACATGCTCATCGCACGCACACACACAGACCCATCACAGAGAGACCCACAGACTACTCGCACAGAGACGTATAGACTACTCACACAGACCCACAGACTACTCACACAGAGACACAGACTACTCACACAGACTACTCATACACACACAGACCCACAGACTCACACACACACAGACCCACATGCTCATCACACACACACACACACAGATCCACATACTCATCGCACACACACACAGATCCACATACTCATCGCGCACACACACACAGACCCACAGACTCATCGCACACACACACAGACCCACAGACTCATCACAGAGAGACCCACAGACTACTCGCACAGCGACACATAGACTATACACACAGAAACCCACATACTCATCGCACACACACACAGACCCACATACTCATCGCACACACACACAGAAACCCACATACTCATCGCACACACACACACAGACCCACAGACTCATCGCACACACACACAGAGACCCACAGACTCATTGCACACACACACAAACACAGACTCACATACACAGACCCACATACTCATCGCACACACACACAGACCCACATACTCATCGCAAACACACACACAGACCCACAGACTCATCGCACACACACACACAGAGACCCACAGACTCATCGCACACACACACAAACACAGACTCACACACACACAGACCCACATACTCATCGCACACACACACAGACCCACATACTCATCGCAAACACACACAGAACCACAGACTCACACACACACAGACCCACAGACTCATCACAGAGAGACCCACATACTCATCACACACAGACCCACAGACTCATCACAGAGAGACCCACATACTCATCGCACACACAGAGACCCACAGACTCATCACAGAGACCCACATACTCATCACACACAGAGACCCACCGAGTCATCGCACACACACAGAGACCCACAGACTCATCGCACACACACAGAGACCCACAGACTCATCACAGAGACCCACATACTCATCACACACAGAGACCCATAGACTCATCACAGAGACCCACATACTCATCACACAGAGACCCATAGACTCATCACAGAGACCCACATACTCATCACACACAGAGACCCACAGACTCATCACAGAGAGACCCACAGACTCATCGCACACACACACAGACTCATCGCAAACACACAGACCCACAGGCTCATCACAGAGACCCACATACTCATCACACACAGAGACCCACAGACTCATCACAGAGAGACCCACATACTCATCACACACAGAGACCCACAGACTCATCACAGAGACCCACATACTCATCACACACAGAGACCCACAGACTCATCGCACACACACACACACAGAGACCCACATACTCATCGCACACACACAGAGACCCACAGACTCATCACAGAGACCCACATACTCATCACACACAGAGACCAACATACTCATCACACACAGAGACCCATAGACTCATCACAGAGACCCACATAGTCATCACACACACAAACCAACAGACTCATCACACACACAGAGACCCACAGACTCATCGCACACACACACAGAAACCCACAGACTCATCGCACACACACAGACCCACATACACACACACACACAGACCCACAGACTCATCGCACACACACAGACCCACAGACACACACACAGAAACCCACATACTCATCGCACACACACAGACCCACATACACACACACACAGACCCACAGAGTCACACACACAGACTACTCACACACAGACACACACACAGACCCACAGAGACACACACACACAGACTACTCACACACACACACACACTCGGAGAGAGAAAGACCCACAGGGGACCCCCTCCGTCTTCTCTTTCCCCAGCAGCGGCCATGAACCTGCGTCGCGGGGGCAAGGGCGGGGCCGGGCGCGCGAGGGCACCGCGCCAGCACCAGCAGCACGGCGCCGCCGACCTGCCGCCCGTCAAGTTCGACGGAGACTTCGACTTTGAGAGCGCCAACGCGCAGTTCAATCGCGACGACCTCGACCGGGAGTTCAACAACAAGCTCAAGATCAGGGGTGAGCGGGCGGGCGGGCGGGCGGGCGGGTGAGCGAGTGGGTAGGTGAGCTAGCGGGCGGGTAGGTGGGTTGGTGAGCTAGTGGGCGGATAGGTGGGTAGGTGAGCTAGTGGGCGGATAGGTGGGTAGGTGAGCTAGTGGGCGGATAGGTGGCAAGGTGAGCGGGTGGGTAGGTGAGCGGGTGGGTAGGTGAGCTAGTGGGCGGATAGGTGGGAAGGTGAGCGGGTGGGTAGGTGAGCGGGCGGATAGGTGGGTAGGTGAGCGGGCGGATAGGTGGGTAGGTGAGCTAGCGGGCGGGTAGGTGAGCTAGCGGGCGGATAGGTGGGTAGGTGAGCTAGCGGGCGGATAGGTGGGTAGGTGAGCTAGCGGGCGGATAGGTGGGTAGGTGAGCTAGCGGGCGGATAGGTGGGTAGGTGAGCTAGCGGGTGGGTAGGTGAGCTAGTGGGCGGATAGGTGGGTAGGTGAGCTAGTGGGCGGATAGGTGGGTAGGTGAGCTAGCGGGCGGATAGGTGGGTAGGTGAGCTAGCGGGCGGATAGGTGGGTAGGTGAGCTAGTGGGCGGATAGGTGGGTAGGTGAGCTAGTGGACGGATAGGTGGGTAGGTGAGCTAGCGGGCGGATAGGTGGGTAGGTGAGCTAGCGGGCGGATAGGTGGGTAGGTGAGCTAGCGGGCGGATAGATGGGTAGGTGAGCTAGTGGGTGGGTAGGTGAGCTAGTGGGCGGATAGGTGGGTAGGTGTGCTAGTGGGCGGATAGGTGGGTAGGTGAGCTAGCGGGCGGATAGGTGGGTAGGTGAGCTAGTGGGCGGATAGGTGGGAAGGTGAGCTAGTGGGCGGATAGGTGGGTAGGTGAGCTAGTGGGCGGATAGGTGGGTAGGTGAGCTAGTGGGCGGATAGGTGGGTAGGTGAGCTAGCGGGCGGATAGGTGGGTAGGTGAGCTAGCGGGCGGATAGGTGGGTAGGTGAGCTAGCGGACGGATAGGTGGGTAGGTGAGCTAGTGGGCGGGTAGGTGAGCTAGTGGGCGGATAGGTGGGTAGGTGAGCTAGTGGGCGGATAGGTGGGTAGGTGAGCTAGTGGGCGGATAGGTGGGTAGGTGAGCTAGTGGGCAGATAGGTGGGTAGGTGAGCGGGCAGATAGGTGGGTAGGTGAGCGGGCAGATAGGTGGGTAGGTGAGCGGGCAGATAGGTGGGTAGGTGAGCTAGTGGGCGGATAGGTGGGTAGGTGAGCTAGTGGGCAGGTGGGTGGATGTACGGGCGTGCAGTCGGGTAGATGAGTGAGTGGGCGGGGGAGCGGGCGGATAGGTGGGCAGGTGAGTGGGCGGGTGGGTGGGTGGGTGAGCGGGTGGGTGAGCGGGTGAGCGGGGCGGGTGAGTGAGTGAGTGAGTGAGCGGGTGAGTGAGTGGGCGCGTGGGTGGGTAGTTGGATGGGCGGGCGGGCAGGTTGGCGAGTAGATGGGTGGGTAGACGAGTGGGCGGGTGAGTTTGCGAGCGGATGAGTAGGCGGGGTGAGTCAGTGAGTGAGTTTGCGTGCGAATGGGCGGGCGAGTGGACGGGCTGGTGAATGAGCTTCACACTCACCCATCAGTCACTCACCCATCACTCACCACTGCCCCTCACACCCTATCCTGTCACTCATACATTCAGCCACAGTCTCACTCTCTTAAATACAACAATCACTCACCCATCATCGCTCACTCGCCCATCACTCACTCACCCATCTCTTGCTCACCCCTCACTCGCTCACCCATCACTCACTCACCCATCACTCGCTCACCCACCCATCACTCGCTCACCCATCACTCGCTCACTCACCCATCGCTCACCAACCCATCACTCGCTCACCCACCCATCACTCGCTCACCCATCACTCGCTCACCCATCACTCGCTTACCCACCCATCACTCGCTCGCCCCTTACTCGCTGGCTCACCCATCACTCACTCGCTGGCTCACCCACCCCTCGCTCGCTCACCCCTCACTCACTCACCCATCACTCACCCCTCACTGGCTCACCCCTCACTCGCTCACCCCTCACTCGCTCACCCCTCACTCGCTCACCCCTCACTCGCTCACCCATCACTCGCTCACCCATCACTCGCTCACCCATCACTCGCTCACCCCTCACTCACCCCTCACTCACTGGCTCACCCCTCACTCGCTCACCCCTCACTCGCTCACCCACCCCTCGCTCGCTCACCCCTCACTCGCTGGCTCACCCCTCACTCGCTCGCCCCTCACTCGCTCACCCATCGCTCACCCCTCACTCGCTCACCCACCCCTCACTCGCTCACCCACCCCTCACTCGCTCACCCATCGCTCACCCCTCACTCGCTCACCCACCCCTCACTCGCTCACCCATCGCTCGCTGGCTCACCCCTCACTCGCTCACCCCTCGCTCGCTCACCCCTCACTCGCTCGCTCACCCATCACTCGCTCACCCACCCCTCGCTCACCCCTCACTCGCTGGCTCACCCCTCACTCGCTCACCCCTCGCTCGCTCACCCCTCACCCATCACTCACCCCTCACTCGCTGGCTCACCCCTCACCCCTCACTCGCTGGCTCACCCCTCACTCGCTGGCTCACCCCTCACTCACCCCTCACTCGCTGGCTCACCCCTCGCTCACCCCTCACTCGCTGGCTCACCACGGCGCCCTCCCACAGAACCGCCCGCGGCAGAGCCGACCAACGCCGAACCCGCCCGAGACGGCGGGCGGTGGCGGTGGCAACGCGGCGACCGACGGGGGCTGCTGATGATGCCGGCGGCAGCGGCGGCGGCGGCGGCGACGATGACGACGATGGGCCGTCCAATTACTACGACCGCACCAAATCCTTCTTCGACAGCATCTCCTGCGACAGTTCCCTGGGGTGAGTCGTGCGGGCCGGGCGACGTGCAACTGGAGCCTCGGCGCGCTTTAAAAATCGTCGAAGGCGGGACACTCTCGCCCCTGTGAAACTTAACTTCCTGTTTGGTTCGCCGGCCTTCCCCGCCCGCCCCTCCCAATTGGCGCGGTTGGCCGCTACGTTACGCACAGGGGCGCACGGAGATGCGTGGACTCGCACGGAGACACATAGACTCGCACGGAGATGCGTAGACTCGCACGGAGACCCATAGACTTGCACGGAGACCCTAAGACTTGCACGGAGACCCTAAGACTCGCACAGAGATGCGTAGACTCGCACGGAGACACATAGACTCGCACGGAGATGCATAGACTCGCACGGAGACACATAGACTCGCACTGAGAGGCATAGACTCGCACGGAGATGCGTGGACTCGCACGGAGATGCGTAGACTCGCACTGAGAGACATAGACTCGCACTGAGAGACATAGACTCGCACGGAGATGCGTGGACTCGCACGGAGACACACAGACCCGCACGGAGACACGTAGACTCGCACGGAGACACGTAGACTCGCACGGAGACCCTAAGACTCGCACGGAGACACGTAGACTCACACGGAGACACGTAGACTCATACAGAGACCCGTAGACTCGCACAGAGACACGTAGACTTGCACGGAGACACATAGACTCGCACAGAGACCCTAAGACTCGCACGGAGACCCTAAGACTCGCACGGAGACACATAGACTCGCACAGAGACCCTAAGACTCGCACGGAGACCCTAAGACTCGCACGGAGACCCTAAGACTTGCACGGAGACACATAGACTCGCACGGAGACACATAGACTCGCACAGAGACCCTAAGACTCGCACGGAGACACGTAGACTCGCACGGAGACACGTAGACTCGCACGGAGACACGTAGACTCATACAGAGACACGTAGACTCGCACGGAGAGACATAGACTCGCACAGAGACCCTAAGACTCGCACGGAGACACGTAGACTCGCACGGAGACACATAGACTTGCACGGAGACACATAGACTTGCACGGAGACCCTAAGACTCGCACGGAGACCCTAAGACTCGCACGGAGACCCTAAGACTCGCACGGAGACACATAGACTCGCACGGAGACAGACTCGCACAGAGACACGTAGACTCACACAGAGAACCACACTCGCAGCAGGCGTTGTCAGGGTCACGTGATCGAACCCACGACCTCCTGTAGACCAGGCGAGGTAGTTAACATCTCCTAGCCATCGTGATGATGATGATGAGAGAGACACAAACTCCAAATATACAACAGCAGGCATCGTCCGGGCCGTGATGGAACCCAGAACCTCGTGGGTGGGTGGGTGAATGAGGTGGGTGGGTGACTGAATGGGTGGGTAAGTGAATGAGTGGGTGGGGCTGGTGGGTGATTGAATGGGTGGGTGGGTGGGTTAGCGAATGGGTGAGTAACTGATAGGGTGGCTGGGTGGGTGGGCGAGTGACTGGGCGGGTAAGTGAATGAGTGAATGGGTGAGTGGCTGGGCGGGTGAGTGAACGAGCCATTGGGCGGGTGAGTGGGTGGGTGGGTGGGTGAGTGGCTGGGTGGGTGGGTGGGTGAGTGACTGGGCGGGTGAGTGAATGAGCCAGTGGGTGGGTGAGTGGGTGGGTGGGTGAGTGGCTGGGTGGGTGGGTGAGTGACTGGGCGGGTGGGTGAGTGACTGGGCGGGTGAGTGAATGAGCTAGTGGGTGGGTGAGTGGCTGGGTGGGTGAGTGAATGAGCTGGTGAGTGGCTGGGTGGGTGGGTGAGTGACTGGGCAGGTGAGTGAGTGACTGGGCGGGTGAGTGGGTGGGTGGGTGAGTGGCTGGGTGGGTGGGTGAGTGACTGGGCGGCGGGTGAGTGAATGAGCCAGTGGGTGGGTGAGTGACTGGGCGGGTGGGTGAGTGGGTGGGTGAGTGACTGGGCGGGTGGGTGAGTGGCTGGGCGGGTGAGTGGGTGGGTGAGTGACTGGGCGGGTGGGTGAGTGGCTGGGCGGGTGAGTGAGTGAGCTGGCGGGCGGGTGAGTGAGTGGGTGAGTGGCTGGGCGGGTGAGTGGGTGGGTGAGTGACTGGGTGGGTGGGTGAGTGACTGGGCAGGTGAGTGAGTGACTGGGCGGATGGGTGGGTGGGTGAGTGGCTGGGTGGGTGAGTGACTGGGCGGGTGAGTGGATGGGCGGGTGAGTGGATGGGTGAGTGACTGGGCGGCTGGTGAGTGAATGAGCCAGTGGGTGGGTGAGTGACTGGGTGGGTGAGTGACTGGGCGGGTGAGTGACTGAGCCAGTGGGTGGGTGAGTGACTGGGCGGGTGAGTGACTGGGCGGGTGAGTGAATGAGCCAGTGGGTGGGTGAGTGACTGGGTGGGTGAGTGACTGGGTGGGTGAGTGACTGGGCGGGTGAGTGACTGAGCCAGTGGGTGGGTGAGTGACTGGGCGGGTGAGTGACTGGGCGGGTGAGTGAATGAGCCAGTGGGTGGGTGAGTGACTGGGCGGGTGAGTGACTGGGCGGGTGAGTGAATGAGCCAGTGGGTGGGTGAGTGACTGGGTGGGTGAGTGACTGGGCGGGTGAGTGACTGAGCCAGTGGGTGGGTGAGTGACTGGGCGGGTGAGTGAATGAGCCAGTGGGTGGGTGAGTGACTGGGTGGGTGAGTGACTGAGCCGGCCGGCTGGCCGGCGGGCGCTTCCTCCACATCGCTCGCGCCTCACAAACCATTCCACCCCCCCCTCCCCCGCCCCCGCCCCGCTCAGCCGCCGGCGGACCACGTGGGCGGAGGAGCGCAAGCTGAACACGGAGACATTCGGCGTGACCCTCCGCTCGCCGTGGGGACGTGGGGGCGGCTACCGGGGACGCTGGGGGGGCGGCGGCGGCGGCGGCTTCCATCGGGGACCCCGGGGTGGTTGGGGCCGCGGTGGTGGCGGTGGTGGCGGTGGTGGCGGTGGTGGCGGTGGTGGCCGAGGAGGTGGACAGGGAGGGGACAGGGAGGGGGAGGACCCCTCCTGTCGTCACACCTCGGTGCTGGGGCGAGGCAGCAGAGGGGGGCTGGAGGCGGTGGAGGCGGTGGTGGAGGCGGTGGAGGCGGTGGTGGCGGTGGGGGTGGTCAGGCTGGTGGACGTCTGTGGGTGGACCCCTCGGCGCAGGTGAGCGGGGCGGGGGGGAGGTAGTGCGGCCCAAGGCAAAGGTGACCTGTGTAGCCTCTAGCAGGCTGTAGGGGCAAGTGCTGTGAGTAGCAGCAGCAGTGCCCTATAGACACACAGACAAAGGTCCCCCGTGTAGCCTCTAGCAGGGCTGTAGGGGCAAGTGCTGTGAGTAGCAGCACGGTTGGCTACGGTACGGTTGGTGGTGGTGGCATAAACCTCGGCGCTTGTGCCAGGCCCCAGGAGGTCACGGGACAGACCCAGCAGGTGCCACGGGTTGACTGCTGTGCCAGGCTAGGTGCAGGACACGGGACAGACCCAGAAGGTGCCACGGGTTGACTGCTGTGCCAGGCTAGGTGCAGGACACACACACACACAACGTACGTGTTGAAACCCCTGTGTTGTTGTCACTGTACCGTGAAGATCTAACGAGATTTCCTCACCTCCCTCCGTCTCTCTCCCCTCTCACCATTTCTCTCCATCTCTTCCCTCATCATCTCTCCCCTTCTATTTATCTCTTCCATCCCTCCTCCCTCCCTCTCCTCCCCTCCCTCTCTCCCTCCCCTCCCCTCCCTCTCCTCCCTCTCCTCCCTCTCCCTCCCCTCCCTCTCCTCTCTCCCCTCCCCTCCCTCCCCTCCCTCCCCTCCCCTCTCCTCCCCTCCTCCCCCTCCCTCTCTCCCCTCCCTCCCCTCCCTCTCCCCTCCTCTCCTCCCTCTCCTCCCTCTCTCCCCTCCCTCCCCTCCCCTCCCTCCCTCTCCTCCCCTCCCTCCCCTCCCTCCCTCCCTCCCTCCCTCCCTCCCTCCCTCTCCTCCCTCCCTCTCCTCCCTCTCTCCCCTCCCTCCCCTCCCCTCCCTCCCCCTCCCTCTCCTCCCCTCCCTCCCCTCCCTCCCTCTCCTCTCTTCCCTCCCTCCCCTCCCTCCCCTCCCTCTCCCCTCCCCTCCCTCCCCTCCCTCTCCTCCCTCTCCTCCCTCCCCTCCCTCTCCTCCCTCCCCTCCCTCCCCTCCCTCTCCTCCCTCTCTCCCCTCCCCTCCCTCTCCTCCCTCTCTCCCCTCCCTCTCCTCCCTCTCTCCCTCTCCTCCCTCCCCTCCCTCTCCTCCCCTCCCTCCCCTCCCTCTCTCCCCTCCCTCCCCTCTCTCCCCTCCCTCCCTCTCCTCCCCTCCTTCCTCCCCTCCCCCCCTCCCTCCCTCTCCTCCCCTCCTCCCTCCCCTCCCTCTCTCTCCCCTCCCTCCCCTCTCTCCCCATCCCTCCCCCGCCTCCCCATCCCTCCCCTCTTCCCTCCCCATCCCTCCCCCGCCTCCCCTCTCTCCCCAACAGAGCACTGGCCGAGTGTTGTCGTGATCACCCGTCCCTCCCCTAGTGGACAACAACAACAACAACAACCAACTCCCTGTGTCGCTCGCTGCCTCTCGCCGCTATGAGTCTCACCGACGTCCCTCACTGCCCCCCCTCAGGGGGACCCCCCCACCAACTGTCACTTCCCACTGCGGCGTCCCTCACTGCCCCCCCCAGAGGACCCCCCCCCCCCTACCAACTGACTGTCACTTCCCACTGTGACGTCCCTCGCTGTACCCCCTCAGGGGACCCCCCACCAACTGACTGTCACTTCCCACTGCGACGTCCCTCACTGCCCCCCTCAGGGGGACCCCCACCAACTGTCACTTCCCACTGCGACGTCCCTCACTGCCCCCCTCAGGGGGACCCCCACCAACTGTCACTTCCCACTGCGACGTCCCTCACTGCCCCCCCTCAGGGGGACCCCCACCCCACCAACTGTCACTTCCCACTGCGACGTCCCTCACTGCCCCCCCTCAGGGGGACCCCCCCACCAACTGTCACTTCCCACTGTGACGTCCCTCACTGCCCCCCCTCAGGGGGACCCCCCCACCAACTGTCACTTCCCACTGTGACGTCCCTCACTGCCCCCCCTCAGAGGGACCCCCCCCCACCAACTGTCACTTCCCACCTCGACGTCCCTCACTGCCCCCCCTCAGGGGGACCCCCCTACCAACTGTCACTTCCCACTGCGGCATCCCTCACTGCCCCCCCTCAGAGGGACCCCCCCCACCAACTGACTGTCACTTCCCACTGTGACGTCCCTCACTGCCCCCCCTCAGAGGGACCCCCCCCACCAACTGTCACTTCCCACTGCGGCGTCCCTCGCTGCCCCCCCTCAGGGGGACCCCCCCCACCAACTGTCACTTCCCACTACGACGTCCCTCACTGCCCCCCCCCTCAGAGGGACCCCCCCCCACCAACTGCAACTGTCACTTCCTACTGTGACGTCCCTCACTGCCCCCCCTCAGGGGGACCCCCCCACCAACTGTCACTTCCCACTGTGACGTCCCTCGCTGTACCCCCTCAGGGGGACCCCCCCCCCACCAACTGTCACTTCCCACTGTGACGTCCCTCGCTGTACCCCCTCAGGGGACCCCCCCACCACCAACTGACTGTCACTTCCCACTGTGACGTCCCTCACTGCCCCCCCTCAGGGGGACCCCCCCACCAACTGTCACTTCCCACTGTGACGTCCCTCACTGCCCCCCCTCAGAGGGACCCCCCCCCACCACAGCAGGCATCACTATTAATAATCTGTACGCCGATCATCGCTCCCCCCCCCCTCCTCGAGGTGTAAATATTGAGGCGTCATTAGTGTGGGGGGGGGGGGGTGGAGGGGGGAGGGGGGCCGTGGTGTTTGTTGGTTCCAAGGTTCTCGGCGAATTTAAACTTCGAATGGTCGGGGGAGGTTGCGGTGGGGTAGATGCTACACTCGTGTGTGGGTGTGTGTGGGTGTGTGTGTGGGTGTGTGTGTGGGGGGGTACGTGTGTGTGTGGGTGTGTGTACGTGTGTGTGGGTGTGTGTGGGTGTGTGTGGGTGTGTGTGGGTGTGGGTGGGTGTGTGTGTGTGGGTGGGTGGGTGTGTGTGTGTGGGTGGGTGCGTGTACGTGGGTGGGTGTGTGTACGTGGGTGTGGGTGGGTGTGTGTACGTGGGTGTGGGTGGGTGTGTGTACGTGGGTGTGTGTACGCGTGTACGTGTGTGTGTGCGCGCGTGTATACGCGCGTGTGCCTGTACGTGCGGGTGTGTATACGCGCGTGTGTGCAAGTGTGTGTGTATCCACGTGTGTGTGTGCGTGTGTGTGTATCTACGTGTGTGTGTGTAAGTGTGTGTGTGTGTAAGTGTGTGTGTGTGTGCGTGTGTATCTACATGTGTGTGTGTATCTACGTGTGTGTGTGTATCCACGTGTGTGTGTATCCACGTGTGTGTGTATCCACGTGTGTGTGTGTATCCACGTGTGTGTGTATCCACGTGTGTGTGTGTATCCACGTGTGTATCTACATGTGTGTGTATCCACGTGTGTGTGTGTGTATCCACGTGTGTAAGTGTGTGTGTATCTACGTGTGTGTGTAAGTGTGTGTCTATCTACGTGTGTGTGTATCCACGTGTGTGTAAGTGTGTGTATCCACGTGTGTAAGTGTGTGTGTGTATCCACGTGTGTGTGTAAGTGTGTGTATCCACGTGTGTGTGTAAGTGTGTATATCCGTGTGTGTAAGTGTGTGTATCCACGTGTGTGTGTAAGTGTGTGTATCCACGTGTGTATATCCACGTGTGTGTGTAAGTGTGTGTATCCACGTGTGTGTATCCACGTGTGTGTGTAAGTGTGTGTATCCACGTGAGTGTGTAAGTGTGTGTATCCACGTGTGTGTGTATCCACGTGTAAGTGTGTATCCACGTGTGTGTGTGTAAGTGTGTGTGTGTATCCACGTGTGTGTGTGTGTGTGGGGAGCGGTGGTGCAGCGGGGTCAGCGTCGCGCTACGAACCCGGCAGGAGGTCCCGAGTTCGATTCCCGCTCAACGGCCTCCCCTAGGTCGACTCGGCCTCAAATGAGTAACCTGGTGGTGGTGGTGGTTGTAGTTGTTGAAACATCGCCACTGGGGGAGAGACAAAGGCGGCCGTGTGTGGCGGCGGCTGCTGCTGCAACTTGCTGACAGCACTTGCCCCAGGAGTCTGTTGCAGGCTCCGCGGGGGACCATTGTCTCTCTTTGTCGTGGGTTTGGGGAAGGGGGGGGGGGAGAAAACGCGATATCCCTTCGGTGTGTCTGGGGGAGTCTCGCACGCGTTGCCTGCAACCCACGTTGCTGGCAACCCACGTTGCCTGCAACCCACGTTGCTCGCAACCCACGTTGCTCGCAACCCACGTTGCTGACAAGCCACGCGTTGCCTGCAACCCACGTTGCTTGCAACCCACGCGTTGCCTGCAACCCACGTTGCTCGCAACCCACGTTGCTCGCAACCCACGTTGCTTGCAACCCACGTTGCTCGCAACCCACGCGTTGCTCGCAACCCACGCGTTGCTCGCAACCCACGTGTTGCTCGCAACCCACGCGTTGCTCGCAACCCACGCGTTGCTCGCAACCCACGCGTTGCTCGCAACCCACGCGTTGCTCGCAACCCACGTCGCTTGCAACCCACGTTGCTGGCAACCCACGTTGCTCGCAACCCACGTTGCTGGCAACCCACGTTGCTGGCAACCCACGTTGCTCGCAACCCACGTTGCTTGCAACCCACGCGTTGCTCGCAACCCACGTTGCTCGCAACCCACGTCGCTCGCAACCCACGTCGCTCGCAACCCACGTTGCTCGCAACCCACGTTGCTTGCAACCCACGTGTTGCTCGCAACCCACGTCGCTCGCAACCCACGTCGCTCGCAACCCACGTCGCTTGCAACCCGCGCGTTGCTGACAACCCGCGCGTTGCCCTCAACCGCGAATCGCTTTTGTGTGTGGGTGGTGGACACGAGCGAAGTTGCTGCTGTTGCCCAGTTTCCGTTGCTCGCAACGCCGCGAGTTCTGCTCGACCAACAGCACACACACACCCTCACACACACAGTCTGTTGAGGCTATACGGGTGATCTTTGTCTTTGGTTGGGTGGTGGTGGTGATGGTTGAGATGATGGTGATGGTCGTGGTGATGATGGCCGTGTGTACATTTGACGGCGATGGGGACCCTCTGGCTAACGGATGTCACTCTGGCCCAACAAACTTTACAAGACCCGGCAGCTACGGGATTTTAAAATTCCTCCAGCCACTCGCCCGCCCGCCTGCCTGCCCACCCGCTCGCTCGCCCACCCAGCCAGCCACTCACGCACTCGCTCACCCATTCACTCACCCATTCACTCGCCCACTCACTCGCCCACTCACTCGCCCACTCACCCATTCATTCATTCACCCACTCGCCCACCCACTCACCCATTCACTCGCCAACCCACCCACTCACCCTTTCATTCACCCACTCGCCCATTCACTCGCCCACTCGCCAACCCACCCACTCAGCCATTCATTCACCCACTCGCCCACCCACTCACCCATTCACTCGCCCACTCGCCAACCCACCCACTCAGCCATTCATTCACCCACTCGCCCATTCACTCGCCCACCCACTCGCCCACCCACTCACCCACTCGCCCACCCACTCGCCAACCCACTCACTCACCCATTCATTCACCCACTCGCCCGCTCACTTGCCCACCCACTCACCCATTCACTCGCCCACCCAGCCACTCACGCACTCACCCACCCGCTCGCCCACCCGCTCAGTCGCCCACTCAGTCGTCCACTCGTCCACTCACTCACCCACCCGCTCGGAGGAGGAGGAGTCTGTGGTGTTGGCGATGGTGGTTGTGGCGGCGTTCCGACGTGTTTTGTCCTGGCTGAGAGTTCGTTGTTTTTCTCTGTTGTAGCTTTTCAGTGGAAAGGTTTTTTTTAACGTTTCCCAGAGGTTTGGTTGTGGGAGGGGGGGGGGGGTTAGGGTGGGGGGGATGTTTGGAGGTGAGTGGGGGGGTGACTTCAATAAAGATTTGTTCCGATCTTTGGCGAGGGTGGCTGGAGATCGTTCTTGGTGTCGTGGTGGCTACGGTGAAGGTGGTGGTGGTGACGATGGTGACTGATGGTGCTGTGTGATGGGTCTCTGCTGTGTGATGAGTCTATGGGTCTCTGCTGTGTGATGAGTCTGTGGGTCTCTGCTGTGTGATGAGTCTATGGGTTTCTGGTGTGTCATGAGTCTATGGGTCTCTGCTGTGTGATGAGTTTATGGCTCTCTGCTGTGATGAGTCTATGGGTCTCTGCTGTGTGATGAGTCTGTGGGTCTCTGTGATGAGTCTGTGGGTCTCTGCTGTGTGATGAGTCTGTGGGTCTCTGCTGTGTGATGAGTCTGTGGGTCTCTGTGCGAGTCTAAAAGGCCATTCATCGCATTTCGCCTGATGGCCGTGAGTGTGTGGCTGACAGGGGTAGAGGTGGTGCATCTGCAAGTTAACCTCGGTCAACCCATGGCACCTGGGTTGACCTGCACCTAGCCTGGCACAGGCGCGCCCACCAGGGCCCGAGTATCCAATAGGCCACAATAGGCACTGTACCTCGGGCTTACTCATGCACCAATCCACTTTCCCACCTACTCTCCCACCCACTCACCCATTCACGCACCCAGCCACTCAGCTACTCACCCAGCCACTCACCCAGTCACTCACCCAGCCACCCACCCAGCCACTCATTCACTCACCCAGTCATTCATTCACCCAGTCACTCACCCATCCACGTACCCAGCCACTCAGCTACTCACCCAGCCACTCACCCAGTCACTCACCCAGCCACCCAGCCAGCCACTCATTCACTCACCCAGCCACTCATTCACTCACCCAGCCACTCATCCAGTCACTCACACAGCCACTCATTCACTCACCCAGTCACTCACCCAGCCACTCATTCACTCACCCAGTCACTCATTCACTCACCCAGCCACTCATTCACTCACCCAGTCACTCATTCACTCACCCAGCCACTCCCCCAGTCACCCAGCCACTCATTCACTCACCCAGTCACCTAGCCACTCACCCAGTCACTCACCCAGCCACTCATTCACTCACCCAGTCACTCATTCACTCACCCAGCCACTCATTCACTCATCCAGCCACTCACCCAGCCACTCACCTAGCCACTCACCCAGTCACCCAGCCACTCATTCACTCACCCAGCCACTCACCCAGTCACTCACCCAGCCACTCATTCACTCACCCAGTCACTCACCCAGCCACTCACCCAGCCACTCATTCACTCACCCAGTCACTCATTCACTCACCCAGCCACTCACCCAGTCACCCAGCCACTCACCCAGCCACTCATTCACTCACCCGGCCACTCACCCAGTCACCTAGCCACTCACCCAGTCACTGACCCAGCCACTCATTCACTCACCCAGCCACTCACCCAGCCACTCATTCACTCATCCAGCCACTCACCCAGCCACTCACCCAGTCACCCAGCCACTCACCCAGCCACTCATTCACTCACCCAGCCACTCACCCAGTCACTCACCCAGCCACTCACCCAGTCACTCACCCACTCACTCACCCAGCCACTCACACACTCACCCATTCACTCGCCCAACATGAAGAATCCGTGGCATCTGCAGGAGATTATCAGGTGCTACACGTTCTGTATAAATTTATTGACACCAGCGCCACACGTTCTGTATAACTTTATTGACAACAGGGTCACACGTTCTGTGTAACTTTATTGACACCAGCGCCACACGTTCTGTATAACTTTATTGACAACAGGGTCACACGTTCTGTGTAACTTTATTGACACCGGGGGCCACACGTTCTGTGCAACTTTATTGACACCAGGGCCACGTTTTGTACAACTTTATTATTTCCGGGACCTGTAATAAATAATTATTTAATCATAATGACATTTTTATACAACAAATAATAATTTATTTCGGCTGTCGATTCCTTAGCTACCGGAATCGAAAGCACACGCGTGAATCGATTCCCCCCCTTCATTCACTATGAGATAATCGAGAATCGCGATTAAAAAATAAAGTTTTGGGAATCGATTCCTCCCCTAACCCACACCCATTGACAATGGCTGGCGAAAGCGAAAGAATCGAGAATCGCGAATCGTTTCCTGCTCGAAACCACACCCATTGTCAATGGCTGGCGAGAGAATCGCGAATCGATTCCTCCACTCGCCCACACCAAACACCCATTGACAATGGTTATGGAGGGTAAGAATCGAGAATCGTGAATCGATCTTACCCTTCCATTACCCGACACCCTTTGATAATGCCTGGAGAGAATGGTAAGAATCGAGAATCAACGGCACTACACGAATCGATCCACACCCACACATTAGCCAGGAAAGGAAGGGGGAGGCGGGGCTTGCGAAGGAATCGATTCACGCTTTGTGGGTAGGCTGCGTAACAGAATCGACGCGCGATTTAACAGGGCACGATTATGCCGAATCGGAATCGACGACTCGCTGTATTTGCAAATGGTCCTGTGCATTCGGCTGCGTTTGCGATGCCGTAAAACTTCACAAAGTAACGCGATTAAGTTGTAACGATTTGGTTATTGTCGTTACTTGTGCCGCTGTCGTTACGTTACTTGTTGCGTCAACGTCAAGAATGTCGATCGCCTTCCTGAGCCAGAAGCATCGTCAGGGAGTGGAAGTGACTCAGTCCATCATACAGAAGGTGACACTCACACAGAGACCCATAGACACCCATAGAGACCCATAGACACCCATAGACTACTCACACACACAGAGACTCATAGACACCCATAGAGACCCATAGACACCCATAGAGACCCATAGACTACTCACACAGAGACTCATAGAGACCCATAGACACCCATAGAGACCCATAGACACCCATAGACTACTCACACACAGACTCATAGAGACCCATAGACACCCATAGAGACCCATAGACTACTCACACAGAGACTCATAGAGACCAATAGAGACTCATAGACACCCATAGAGACTCATAGACACCCATAGAGACCCATAGACTACTCACACACATAGAGACTCATAGACACCCATAGACACCCATAGACACCCATAGACTACTCACACAGAGACTCATAGAGACCCATAGAGACTCATAGAGACCCATAGACACCCATAGACACCCATAGACTACTCACACAGAGACTCATAGAGACCCATAGACACCCATAGACTACTCACACAGAGACTCATAGACACCCATAGAGACCCATAGACACCCATAGAGACTCATAGACACCCATAGAGATCCATAGACACCCATAGACTACTCACACAGAGACTCATAGACACCCATAGAGACCCATAGACTACTCACACAGAGACTCATATAGACCCATAGACACCCATAGAGTACTCACACACAGAGACTCATAGACACCGATAGAGACCCATAGAGACCCATGGACTACTCACACAGAGGTTCATAGACACCCATAGAGACCCATAGACTACTCACACAGACACTCATAGACACACACAGAGACTCATAGACACCCATAGAGACCCATAGACTACTCACACACAGAGACCCATAGACACCCATGGAGACTCATAGACACCCATAGAGACTCATAGACACCCATAGAGACCCATAGACTACTCACACATAGACTCATAGACACCCATAGACACCCATAGACTACTCACACAGAGACTCATATAGACCCATAGACACCCATAGAGTACTCACACACAGAGACTCATAGACACCGATAGAGAACCATAGAGACCCATAGACTACTCACACAGAGACTCATAGACACCCATAGAGACTCATAGAGACCCATAGACACCCATAGACTACTCACACAGAGACTCATATAGACCCATAGACACCCATAGAGTACTCACACACAGAGATTCATAGACACCGATAGAGACCCATGGACTACTCACACAGAGGTTCATAGACACCCATAGAGACCCATAGACTACTCACACAGACACTCATAGACACACACAGAGACTCATAGACACCCATAGACACCCATAGACTACTCACACAGAGACTCATAGACACCCATAGAGACTCATAGAGACCCATAGAGACTCATAGACACCCATAGAGACCCATAGACACCCATAGACTACTCACACAGAGAGTCATAGACACCCATAGAGACCCATAGACTACTCACACAGAGACTCATATAGACCCATAGACACCCATAGAGTACTCACACACAGAGACTCATAGACACCGATAGGGACCCATAGAGACCCATGGACTACTCACACAGAGGTTCATAGACACCTATAGAGACCCATAGACTACTCACACACAGAGACCCATAGACACCCATGGAGACTCATAGACACCCATAGAGACTCATAGACACCCATAGAGACCCATAGACTACTCACACATAGACTCATAGACACCCATAGACACCCATAGACTACTCACACAGAGACTCATATAGACCCATAGACACCCATAGAGTACTCACACACAGACTCATAGACACCGATAGAGACCCATAGACTACTCACACAGAGACTCATAGACACCCATAGAGACTCATAGAGACCCATAGACACCCATAGACTACTCACACAGAGACTCATATAGACCCATAGACACCCATAGAGTACTCACACACAGAGACTCATAGACACCGATAGAGACCCATAGACACCCATAGACTACTCACACAGAGACTCATATAGACCCATAGACACCCATAGAGTACTCACACACAGAGACTCATAGACACCGATAGAGACCCATAGAGACCCATAGACTACTCACACAGAGGTTCATAGACACCCATAGAGACCCATAGACTACTCACACAGAGACTCATAGACACACACAGAGACTCATAGACACCCATAGAGACCCATAGACTACTCACACACAGAGACCCATAGACACCTATAGAGACCCATAGACTACTCACACACACAGAGACTCATAGAGACCCATAGACACCCATAGACTACTCACACATAGAGACGCATAGAGACCCATAGACACCCATAGACTACTCACACACACAGAGACTCATAGAGACCCAAAGAGACCCATAGACACCCATAGAGACCCATAGACTACTCACACAGAGACTCATAGAGACCCATAGACTACTCACACACACAGAGACTCATAGAGACCCATAGACACCCATAGACTACTCACACACACAGAGACTCATAGACACCCATAGAGACCCATAGACTACTCACACACAGACTCATAGAGACCCATAGACACCCTTAGAGACCCATAGACTACTCACGCACACAGAGACTCATAGAGACCCATAGACACCCATAGAGACCCACAGAATACTCACAGACTCATAGAGACCCATAGACTACTCACAGAGACTCATAGAGACCCATAGACTACTCACAGACTCATAGAGACCCATAGACTACTCAAAGAGACTCATAGAGACCCATAGACACCCATAGACTACTCTACACAGAGACTCATAGAGACCCATAGAGACCCATAGACTACTCACACAGAGACTCATAGAGACCCATAGACACCCATAGACTACTCACACACAAAGAGACTCATAGAGACCCATAGACTACTCACACACAGACTCATAGAGACCCATAGACACCCATAGACTACTCACACACACAGAGATTCATAGACACCCATAGACTACTCACACAGAGACTCATAGAGACCCATAGACACCCATAGACTACTCACACACACAGAGACTCATAGAGACCCATAGACTACTCACACACAGAGACTCATAGAGACCCATAGACACCCATAGACTACTCACACACACAGAGACTCATAAAGACCCATAGACACCCATAGAGACCGATAGACTACTCATGCACACAGAGACTCATAGAGACCCATAGACTACTCACACACACAGAGACTCATAGACACGCATAGACTACTCACACAGAGACTCATAGAGACCCATAGACACCCATAGAGACCCATAGACTACTCACACACAGAGACCCATAGACACCCATAGAGACCCATAGACTACTCACACACACAGAGACTCATAGAGACCCATAGACACCCATAGACTACTCACACACATAGAGACTCATAGACACCCATATACACCCATAGACTACTCACACACACAGAGACTCATAGAGACCCATAGACACCCATAGAGACCGATAGACTACTCACACAGACTCATAGAGACCCATAGACACCCATAGACTACTCACACAGAGACTCATAGAGACCCATAGACTACTCACACAGAGACTCATAGAGACCCATAGACTACTCACACACACAGAGACGCATAGACACCCATAGACACCCATAGACTACTCACACACATAGACTAATAGAGACTCATAGACACCCATAGAGACCCATAGACTAGTCACAGAGACTCATAGAGACCCATAGACACCCATAGACTACTCGTACAGAGACTCATAGAGACCCATAGAGACCCTTAGAGACCCATAGAGACCCATAGACTACTCACACAGAGACTCATAGACACCCATAGACTACTCACACACAGAGAGACTCATAGAGCCCCATAGACACCCATAGACTACTCACACACACACAGACTCATAGAGACCCATAGACACCCATATACTACTCACACAGAGACTCATAGAAACCCATATACTGCTCACACAGAGACCCATAGACACCCATAGACACCCATAGACACCATAGACTACTCACACAGAGACTCATAGAGACCCATAGCTACCCATAGAGACCCATATACTACTCACACAGAGACTCATAGAAACCCATGTACTACTCACACAGAGACTCATAGAGACCCATATACTACTCACACAGAGACTCATAGACACCCATAGAGACCCATAGACTACTCGCACGGAGACTCATAGAGACCCACAGACTACTCACACAGAGACTCATAGAGACCCATAGACTACTCACACACAGACTCATAGAAACCCATAGACTACTCACACAGAGACTCATAGAGACCCATATACTGCTCACAGAGACTCATAGAGACCCATAGACACCCATAGACTACTCACACAGAGACTCATAGAGACCCATATACTACTCACACAGAGACTCATAGACACTCATAGAGACCCATAGACTACTCACACAGAGACCCATAGACACCCATAGAGACCCATAGACTACTCACACACAGAGACCCATAGACACCCATAGAGACCCATAGACTACTCACACACACAGAGACTCATAGAGACCCATAGACACCCATAGACTACTCACACACATAGAGACTCATAGACACCCATATACACCCATAGACTACTCACACACACAGAGACTCATAGAGACCCATAGACACCCATAGAGACCGATAGACTACTCACACAGACTCATAGAGACCCATAGACACCCATAGACTACTCACACAGAGACTCATAGAGACCCATAGACTACTCACACAGAGACTCATAGAGACCCATAGACTACTCACACACACAGAGACGCATAGACACCCATAGACACCCATAGACTACTCACACACATAGACTAATAGAGACTCATAGACACCCATAGAGACCCATAGACTAGTCACAGAGACTCATAGAGACCCATAGACACCCATAGACTACTCGTACAGAGACTCATAGAGACCCATAGAGACCCTTAGAGACCCATAGAGACCCATAGACTACTCACACAGAGACTCATAGACACCCATAGACTACTCACACACAGAGAGACTCATAGAGCCCCATAGACACCCATAGACTACTCACACACACACAGACTCATAGAGACCCATAGACACCCATATACTACTCACACAGAGACTCATAGAAACCCATATACTGCTCACACAGAGACCCATAGACACCCATAGACACCCATAGACACCATAGACTACTCACACAGAGACTCATAGAGACCCATAGCTACCCATAGAGACCCATATACTACTCACACAGAGACTCATAGAAACCCATGTACTACTCACACAGAGACTCATAGAGACCCATATACTACTCACACAGAGACTCATAGACACCCATAGAGACCCATAGACTACTCGCACGGAGACTCATAGAGACCCACAGACTACTCACACAGAGACTCATAGAGACCCATAGACTACTCACACACAGACTCATAGAAACCCATAGACTACTCACACAGAGACTCATAGAGACCCATATACTGCTCACAGAGACTCATAGAGACCCATAGACACCCATAGACTACTCACACAGAGACTCATAGAGACCCATATACTACTCACACAGAGACTCATAGACACTCATAGAGACCCATAGACTACTCACACAGAGACTCATAGACACCCATAGAGACCTATAAAAATCCATAGACTACTCGCAGAGACTCAGAGACCCATAGACTACTCACACAGTGACTCATATAGACCCATAGACACCCATAGAGTACTCACACACAGAGACTCATAGACACCGATAGGGACCCATAGAGACCCATGGACTACTCACACAGAGGTTCATAGACACCTATAGAGACCCATAGACTACTCACACAGAGACTCATAGACACACACAGAGACTCATAGACACCCATAGAGACCCATAGACTACTCACACACAGAGACCCATAGACACCCATGGAGACTCATAGACACCCATAGAGACTCATAGACACCCATAGAGACCCATAGACTACTCACACATAGACTCATAGACACCCATAGACACCCATAGACTACTCACACAGAGACTCATATAGACCCATAGACACCCATAGAGTACTCACACACAGACTCATAGACACCGATAGAGACCCATAGACTACTCACACAGAGACTCATAGACACCCATAGAGACTCATAGAGACCCATAGACACCCATAGACTACTCACACAGAGACTCATATAGACCCATAGACACCCATAGAGTACTCACACACAGAGACTCATAGACACCGATAGAGACCCATAGACACCCATAGACTACTCACACAGAGACTCATAGAGACCCATAGACTAGTCACAGAGACTCATAGAGACCCATAGACACCCATAGACTACTCGCACAGAGACTCATAGAGACCCATAGAGACCCTTAGAGACCCATAGAGACCCATAGACTACTCACACAGAGACTCATAGACACCCATAGACTACTCACACACAGAGAGACTCATAGAGCCCCATAGACACCCATAGACTACTCACACACACACAGACTCATAGAGACCCATAGACACCCATATACTACTCACACAGAGACTCATACAAACCCATATACTGCTCACACAGAGACCCATAGACACCCATAGACACCCATAGACACCATAGACTACTCACACAGAGACTCATAGAGACCCATAGCTACCCATAGAGACCCATATACTACTCACACAGAGACTCATAGAAACCCATGTACTACTCACACAGAGACTCATAGAGACCCATATACTACTTACACAGAGACTCATAGACACCCATAGAGACCCATAGACTACTCGCACGGAGACTCATAGAGACCCACAGACTACTCACACAGAGACTCATAGAGACCCATAGACTACTCACACACAGACTCATAGAAACCCATAGACTACTCACACAGAGACTCATAGAGACCCATATACTGCTCACAGAGACTCATAGAGACCCATAGACACCCATAGACTACTCACACAGAGACTCATAGAGACCCATATACTACTCACACAGAGACTCATAGACACTCATAGAGACCCATAGACTACTCACACAGAGACTCATAGACACCCATAGAGACCTATAAAAATCCATAGACTACTCGCAGAGACTCAGAGACCCATAGACTACTCACACAGAGACTCATAGAGACCCATAGACACCCATAGAGACTCATAGACTACTCACACAGAGACCCATAGACACCCATAGAGACCCATAGACTACTCACACAGAGACTCAGAGACTCATAGACACCCATAGACTACTCACACAGAGGTGAATGCAGAAGGTGAAGACGCCACTCACACAGAGACCCATAGAGACTCAAAGTCTATGGATCTCTGTGTGAGTCTATGGGTCTCTGTGTGGTGAGTCTATGGGTCTCTGCTGTGTGATGAGTATATGGGTCTCTGTGTGTGATGAGTCTATGGGTCTCTGCTGTGTGATGAGTCTATGGGTCTCTGCTGTGTGATGAGTCTATGGGTCTCTGCTGTGTGATGAGTCTATGGCTCTCTGCTGTGTGATGAGTCTATGGGTCTCTGCTGTGTGATGAGTCTATGGGTCTCTGCTGTGTGATGAGTCTATGGGTCTCTGCTGTGTGATGAGTCTGTGGGTCTCTGCTATGTGATGAGTCTGCGGGTCTCTGCTGTGTGATGAGTCTATGGCTCTCTGCTGTGTGATGAGTCTATGGGTCTCTGCTGTGTGGTGAGTCTATGGGTCTCTGCTGTGTGATGAGTCTATGGGTCTCTGCTGTGTGATGAGTCTATGGCTCTCTGCTGTGTGGTGAGTCTATGGGTCTCTGCTGTGTGATGAGTCTATGGCTCTCTGCTGTGTGATGAGTCTATGGGTCTCTGCTGTGTTATGAGTCTATGGCTGTCTGCTGTGTGATGAGTCTATGGCTCTCTGCTGTGTGATGAGTCTATGGGTCTCTGCTGTGTGATGAGTCTATGGGTCTCTGCTGTGTGATGAGTCTATGGGGCTCTGCTGTGTGATGAGTCTATGGCTCTCTGCTGTGTGATGAGTCTATGGGTCTCTGCTGTGTGATGAGTCTATGGCTGTCTGCTGTGTGATGAGTCTATGGCTCTCTGCTGTGTGATGAGTCTATGGCTCTCTGCTGTGTGATGAGTCTATGGGTCTCTGCTGTGTGGTGAGTCTATGGGTCTCTGTGTGATGAGTCTATGGGTCTCTGCTGTGTGATGAGTCTATGGCTCTCTGCTGTGTGATGAGTCTATGGGTCTCTGTGTGTGATGAGTCTATGGGTCTCTGCTGTGTGGTGAGTCTATGGGTCTCTGCTGTGTGATGAGTCTATGGCTCTCTGCTGTGTGATGAGTCTATGGGTCTCTGCTGTGTGATGAGTCTATGGGTCTCTGCTGTGTGATGAGTCTATGGCTCTCTGCTGTGTGATGAGTCTATGGGTCTCTGCTGTGTGATGAGTCTATGGGTCTCTGCTGTGTGATGAGTCTATGGGTCTCTGCTGTGTGATGAGTCTATGGGTCTCTGCTGTGTGATGAGTCTATGGGTCTCTGCTGTGTGATGAGTCTATGGATCTCTGCTGTGTGGTGAGTCTATGGGTCTCTGCTGTGTGATGAGTCTATGGGTCTCTGCTGTGTGATGAGTCTATGAGTCTCTGCTGTGTGGTGAGTCTATGGCTCTCTGCTGTGTGATGAGTCTATGGGGCTCTGCTGTGTGATGAGTCTATGGGTCTCTGCTGTGTGATGAGTCTATGGCTCTCTGCTGTGTGATGAGTCTATGGGTCTCTGCTGTGTGATGAGTCTATGGGTCTCTGCTGTGTGATGAGTCTATGGGTCTCTGCTGTGTGATGAGTCTATGGGTCTCTGCTGTGTGATGAGTCTATGGGTCTCTGCTGTGTGATGAATCTTAGCATGGTGCGATATTTGCGATCTCGATTCACTTTCGTCAGATCCTGGACGAGAACAACCAGCTGATCCAGTGCATCGTGGACTACCAGAACAGAGGGAAATCCTCCCAGTGCACACAGTGAGTCCGGCTTTCTACACACTGTCCGCTGTCCACACAGAGACCCATAGACTCATCACACAGAGACCCTTAGACTCATCACACAGCAGAGACCCATAGACTCATCACACAGAGACCCATCGACTCATCACACAGCAGAGACCCATAGACTCATCACACAGCAGAGACCCATAGACTCATCACACAGCAGAGACCCATAGACTCATCACACAGCAGAGACCCATAGACTCATCACACAGCAGAGACCCATAGACTCATCACACAGCAGAGAGCCATAGACTCATCACACAGCAGAGAGCCATAGACTCATCACACAGCAGAGACCCATAGACTCATCACACAGCAGAGACCCATAGACTCATCACACAGAGACCCATCGACTCATCACACAGCAGAGACCCATAGACTCATCACACAGCAGAGACCCATAGACTCATCAACACAGAAGAGACCCATAGACTCATCACACAGCAGAGACCCATAGACTCATCACACAGCAGAGACCCATAGACTCACCACATAGAGACCCATAGACTCATCACACAGCAGAGACCCATAGACTCATCACACAGCAGAGACCCATAGACTCATCACACAGCAGAGACCCATAAACTCATCACACAGCAGAGACCCATAGACTCATCACACAGCAGAGACCCATAGACTCATCACACAGCAGAGAGCCATAGACTCATCACACAGCAGAGAGCCATAGACTCATCACACAGTAGAGACCCATAGACTCATCACACAGCAGAGAGCCATAGACTCATCACACAGCAGAGAGCCATAGACTCATCACACAGCAGAGAGCCATAGACTCATCACACAGCAGAGAGCCATAGACTCATCACACAGCAGAGAGCCATAGACTCATCACACAGCAGAGAGCCATAGACTCATCACACAGCAGAGACCCATAGACTCATCACACAGCAGAGACCCATAGACTCATCACACAGCAGAGACCCATAGACTCATGACACAGCAGAGACCCATAGACTCATCACACAGCAGAGACCCATAGACTCATCACACAGCAGAGAGCCATAGACTCATCACACAGCAGAGAGCCATAGACTCATCACACAGAGACCCATCGACTCATCACACAGCAGAGACCCATAGACTCATCACACAGCAGAGAGCCATAGACTCATCACACAGCAGAGAGCCATAGACTCATCACACAGCAGAGACCCATAGACTCATCACACAGAAGAGACTCATAGACTCATCACACAGCAGAGACCCATAGACTCATCACACAGCAGAGACCCATAGACTCATCACACAGAGACCCATAGACTCATCACACAGAGACCCATAGACTCATCACACAGCAGAGACCCATAGACTCATCACACAGCAGAGACCCATAGACTCATCACACAGCAGAGACCCATAGACTCATCACACAGCAGAGACCCATAGACTCATCACACAGCAGAGACCCATAGACTCATCACACAGCAGAGACCCATAGACTCATCACACAGCAGATACCCATAGACTCATCACACAGCAGAGAGCCATAGACTCATCACACAGCAGAGACCCATAGACTCACCACATAGAGACCCATAGACTCACCACACAGAGACCCATAGACTCATCACACAGCAGAGACCCATAGACTCATCACACAGCAGAGAGCCATAGACTCATCACACAGCAGAGACCCATAGACTCATCACACAGCAGAGACCCATAGACTCATCACACAACAGAGACCCATAGACTCATCACACAGCAGAGACCCATAGACTCATCACACAGCAGAGACCCATAGACTCATCACACAGCAGAGAGCCATAGACTAATCACACAGCAGAGACCCATAGACTCACCACACGGAGACCCATAGACTCATCACACAGCAGAGAGCCATAGACTCACCACACAGCAGAGACCCATAGACTCATCACACAGCAGAGACCCATAGACTCATCACACAGCAGAGACCCATAGACTCATCACACAGCCGACCAATAGACTCATCACACAGCAGAGAGCCATAGACTCATCACACAGCAGAGACCCATAGACTCATCACACAGCAGAGACCCATAGACTCACCACAGAGAGACCCATAGACTCATCACACAGCAGAGACCCATAGACTCATAACACAGCAGATACCCATAGACTCATCACACAGCAGAGACCCATAGACTCATCACACAGCAGATACCCATAGACTCATCACACAGCAGAGACCCATAGACTCATCACACAGCAGAGACCCATAGACTCACCACAGATAGACCCATAGACTCATTTTGAGATGTTGACTACCTCGCCTGGTATACAGGAGGTCGTTGGTTCGATCCCGTGACCCTGGGAGATGTTGACTACCTCGCCTGGTCTACAGGAGGTCGTGGGTTCGATCCCGTGACCCTGGGAGATGTTGACCACCTCGCCTGGTATACAGGAGGTCGTGGGTTCGATCCCGTGACCCTGGGAGATGTTGTCTACCTCGCCTGGTGTACAGGAGGTCGTGGGTTCGATCCCGTAACCCTGGGAGATGTTGACCACCTCGCCTGGTCTACAGGAGGTCGTGGGTTCTATCCCGTGACCCTGGGAGATGTTGACTACCTCGCCTGGTCTACAGGAGGTCGTGGGTTCGATCCCGTGACCCTGGGAGATGTTGACCACCTCGCCTGGTATACAGGAGGTCGTGGGTTCGATCCCGTGACCCTGGGAGATGTTGACTACCTCGCCTGGTGTACAGGAGGTCGTGGGTTCTATCCCTGGGAGATGTTGACTACCTTGCCTGGTCTACAGGAGGTCGTGGGTTCTATCCCAGGGAGATGTTGACTACCTTGCCTGGTCTACAGGAGGTCGTGGGTTATATCCCTGGGAGATGTTGACTACCTCGCCTGGTCTACAGGAGGTCGTGGGTTCTATCCCTGGGAGATGTTGACTACCTCGCCTGGTCTACAGGAGATCGTGGGTTCTGTCCCTGGGAGATGTTGACTACCTCGCCTGGTCTACAGGAGTCGTGGGTTCTATCCTTGGGAGATGTTTACTACCTGGCCTGGTATACAGGAGGTCGTGGGTTCTATCCCTGGGAGATGTTGACTACCTTGCCTGGTCTACAGGAGGTCGTGGGTTCTATCCCTGGGAGATGTTGACTACCTTGCCTGATCTACAGGAGGTCGTGAGTTCTATCCCTGGGTGATGTTGACTACCTCGCCTGGTCTGCAGGAGGTCGTGGGTTCTATCCCTGGGAGATGTTGACTACCTCGCCTGGTACGCAGGAGGTCGTGGGTTCTATCCCTGGGAGATGTTGACTACCTCGCCTGGTCTACAGGAGGTCGTGGGTTCTATCCCTGGGAGATGTTGACTACCTCTCTTGGTATACAGGAGGTCGTGGGTTCTATCCCTGGGAGATGTTGACTACCTCGCCTGGTATACAGGAGGTCGTGGGTTCTATCCCTGGGAGATGTTGACTACATCGCCTGGTCTGCAGGAGATCGTGGGTTCTATCCCTGGGAGATGTTGACTACCTCGCCTGGTCTACAGGTGGTCGTGGGTTCTATCCCTGGGAGATGTTGACTACCTCGCCTGGTGTACAGGAGGTCGTGGGTTCTAATCCTGGGAGATGTTGACTACCTCGCCTGGTATACAGGAGGTCGTGGGTTCTATCCCTGGGAGATGTTGACTACCTCGCTTGGTATACAGGAGGTCGTGGGTTCTATCCCTGGGAGATGTTGACTACCTCGCCTGGTATACAGGTGGTCGTGGGTTTTCCTCCATGTCCTCCGGAGTTTTTCCCGTTGCACGTTTAGGATCGACGTCACCACGCTGCAGTCAATTTCCATGTTGATGATGATGATGGTGATGATGATGGTGATGATGATGGTGATGATGGTGATAATGGTGATGGTGGTGATGATGATGTTGATGATGATGGTGATGTTGATGATGATGATGGTGATGATGATGGTGGTGGTGATGGTGATGTTGATGGTGATGATGATGGTGATGTTGATGATGATGTTGATGATGGTGGTGATGATGGTGATGATGATGGTGATGATGATGATGGTGATGATGGTGATGATGATGTTGATGATGATGATGATGCTGATGATGATGATGTTGATGATGATTTTGCTGCTGATGATGATGATGTTGGCATTGATGATGTTGATAATGATGATGATGTTGCTGATGTTGATGATGTTGCTGATGATGATGTTGATGTTGATGATGTTGATGTGATGATGTTGATGATGATGTTGATGCTGATGATGTTGATGATATCTATGTGTCTCTACGTATCTCTATGTATCTCTGTGTCTCTGTGTGTGTCTATGTGTCTCTATGTGTGTCTATGGGTCTCTATGGGTCTCTATGTATCTCTATGTATCTCTATGTGTCTATATGTGTCTCTATGTGTGTCTATGTGTCTCTATGTATCTCTGTGGGTCTCTATGTATCTCTATGTGTCTCTATGTGTCTCTATGTGTGTCTATGGGTCTCTATGGGTCTCTATGGGTCTCTGTATCTCTGTGTGTCTCTGTGTGTCTCTATGTGTGTCTATGGGTCTCTATGTGTCTCTATGTGTGTCTATGGGTCTCTATGGGTCTCTATGTGTGTCTATGGGTCTATATGTATCTATGTGTCTCTATGTGTGTCTATGTATCTCTTTGTGTCTCTATGTGTATCTATGTATCTCTGTGTGTCTCTGTGTGTCTCTATGTATCTCTATGGGTCTCTGTGTGTCTCTATGTATCTCTGTGTGTCTCTGTGTGTCTCTGTGTGTCTCTATGTATCTCTGTGTGTCTCTGTGTGTCTCTGTGTGTCTCTATGTATCTCTGTGTGTCTCTGTGTGTCTCTGTGTATCTCTATGGGTCTCTGTGTGTCTCTGTGTGTCTCTATGTATCTCTGTGTGTCTCTGTGTCTCTGTGTGTCTATGGGTCTTTATGTGTCTCTATGTGTGTCTATGGGTCTCTATGGGTCTCTATGTGTGTCTATGGGTCTCTATGGGTCTCTATGTATCTATGTGTCTCTATGTGTGTCTATGTATCTCTGTGTGTCTCTATGTGTCTCTATGTACCTCTATGGGTCTTTGTGTGTCTCTGTGTATCTCTGTGTGTCTCTGTGTGTTTCTGTTTGTCTCTATGTATCTCTATGGGTCTCTGTGTGTCTCTGTGTGTCTCTATGTATCTCTGTGTGTCTCTATGTATCTCTATGTGTCTCTGTGTGTCTCTGTGTGTCTCTATGTATCTCTGTGTGTCTCTATGTGTCTCTGTGTGTCTCTATGGGTCTCTGTGTGTCTCTGTATGTCTCTATGTATCTCTGTGTGTCTCTGTGTGTCTCTATGTATCTCTGTGTGTCTCTATGTATCTCTGTGTGTCTCTGTGTGTCTCTGTGTGTCTCTATGTATCTCTGTGTGTCTCTGTGTGTCTCTATGTATCTCTATGGGTCTCTGTGTGTCTCTGTATGTCTCTATGTATCTCTGTGTGTCTCTGTGTGTCTCTGTGTGTCTCTATTTATCTCTATGTATCTCTATGTGTCTCTATGTGTCTCTGTGTGTCTCTATGTGTCTCTGTGTGTCTCTGTGGGTCTCTGTGTATCTGTGTGTATCTCTATGTATCTCTATGTGTCTCTATGTATCTCTATGCGTCTCTGTGTATCTCTATGTATATCTCTATGAGTCTCTGTGTGTCTCTATATGTCTCTGTGTGTCTCTATTTATCTCTATGTGTCTATATGTGTATCTCTATGAGTCTCTGTGTGTCTCTATGTATATCTATGAGTCTCTGTGTATCTCTATGTGTATCTCTATGAACCTCTGTGTCTGTGTCTTCAGGTACCAGCAGATCCTACACAGGAACCTTGTTTACCTTGCTACGATTGCTGACTCAGCACAGTCCACGGTGAGAGTGGGGGGGGAGTGGGGGGGGCGAGTGGGGGGGGGGGGGAGAGTGGGGGGGGGAGAGTGGGGGGGGGGGGGGAGAGTGGGGGGGGGAGAGAGTGGGGGGGGGAGACGGTGGGGGGTAGAGAGAGACGGTGGGGGGTAGGGAGACGGTGGGGGGTAGGGAGACGGTGGGGGGTAGGGAGACGGTGGGGGGTAGGGAGACGGTGGGGGGTAGGGAGACGGTGGGGGGTAGAGAGAGATGGTGGGGGGTAGCGAGAGACGGTGGGGGGTAGGGAGACTGTGGGGGGTAGAGAGACGGTGGGGGGTAGGGAGACGGTGGGGGGTAGGGAGACGGTGGGGGGTAGGGAGATGGTGGGGGGTAGGGAGACGGTGGGGGGTAGAGAGACGGTGGGGGGGTAGGGAGACGGTGGGGGGTAGGGAGACGGTGGGGGGTAGGGAGACGGTGGGGGGTAGGGAGACGGTGGGGGGTAGAGAGATGGTGGGGGGTAGGGAGACGGTGGGGGGTAGAGAGAGACCGTGGGGGGTAGGGAGATGGTGGGGGGTAGGGAGACCGTGGGGGGTAGAGAGATGGTGGGGGGTAGGGAGATCGTGGGGGGTAGGGAGACGGTGGGGGGTAGGGAGATGGTGGCTATGAGATGTTAAATTCCTCGCCTGGTCTACAGGAGGTCGTAGGATCGATCCCGACCCTGACTCAAATGAGTGGAGTCGTGGGTCAACAGCACTTGCCCCTACAGCCTGCTAGAGGCTACACGGGGCACCTTTGTCTGTGTGTCTATAGGGCACTGCTGCTGCTACTAACAGCACTTGCCCCTACAGCCCTGCTAGAGGCTACACGGGGGACCTTTGTCTGTGTGAGACCCAGCGACCTGAGCGTGACCTCTGTGACCCCACCCGATGGCTCCTCCCCCCCCCCACCGCAGCCGGCCAATCAGAGCGCGAGCGCGTTGGTGGGTGGCGGCCTCCAGGCTCAAGACGGATTGGTCGGAGTGGGTCACATGATCGGTAAGTGTATGCAGAGTGGTGGTGTTAGTTGTGGTGGTAGTTGTGGAGGTGGTGGGTGGTGATGGTAGTGGCGGTGGTGGTGGAGGTGGTGGTGGTGGCGGTGGTGGTGGTAGTTGTGGTGGCGGTGGTGGTGGTGGTGGTGGCGGTGGTGGTGGTGGTGGCGGTGGCGGTGGTAGTTGTGGTGGTGGCGGTGGTGGTGGTGGTGGTGGCGGTGGCGGTGGTAGTTGTGGTGACGGTGGTGGCGGTGGTGGTGTGGCGGTGGTGGTGGTGGTAGTTTTGGTGGCGGTGGTGGCGGTGGTGGTGGCGGTGGTGGTGGTGGCGGTGGTGGTGGCGGCGGTGGTGGTGGTGGTGGTAGTTGTGGTAGTTGTGGAGGTGGTGGCGGTGGTGGTGGTAGTTGTGGTGGTAGTTGTGGTCTTAGTGGTGGTGGTGGTTGTGGTCTTAGTGGTGGTGGTGGTGGTTGTGGTCTTAGTGGTGGTGGTGGTGGTTGTGGTCTTAGTGGTGGTGGTGGTGGTGGTGGTTGTGGTCTTAGTGGTGGTGGTGGTTGTGGTCTTAGTGGTGGTGGTGGTGGTGGTTGTGGTCTTAGTGGTAGTGGTGGATCTCAGAATCTCGTCCCCATCTTTTCCACCGCTCCGCCAGCCGCCCCAATCGAATTCACGCCGGCGACAATAGACATCAACATTTGTGTCGACTTAGTTTCATTTTTATTTACTCATTTAGGTTCGTATTCTTGGTTCTTTCGGTAAAGTCACCACCACGTAGAAGGGAAACAATAAACTAATAAAAATATAAAACAATAAAATTATTGTAAAACAATACAATTATTATTCTTGGTTCTTTCGGTAAAGTCACCACGTAGAAGGGAAACAATAAAATAATAAAAATATAAAACAATAAAATTATTGTAAAACAATAAAATTATTATTCTTGGTTCTTTAGGTAAAGTCACCACGTGGAAGGGAAACAATAACATAATAAAAATATAAAACAATAACATTATTGTAAAACAATACAATTATTATTCTTGGTTCTTTCGGTAAAGTCACCACCACGTGCAAGGGAAACAATAAAATAATAAAAATATAAAACAATTAAATTATTGTAAAACAATAAAATTATTATACTTGGTTCTTTAGGTAAAGTCACCACGTGGAAGGGAAACAATAAAATAATAAAAATATAAAACAATACAATTATTGTAAAACAATAAAATTATTATTCTTGGTTCTTTCGGTAAAGTCACCACGTAGAAGGGAAACAATAAAATAATAAAAATATAAAACAATAACATTATTGTAAAACAATAAAATTATTATTCTTGGTTCTTTCGGTAAAGTCACCACCACGTGCAAGGGAAACAATAAAATAATAAAAATATAAAACAATAAAATTATTGTAAAACAATAAAATTATTATACTTGGTTCTTTAGGTAAAGTCACCACGTGGAAGGGAAACAATAAAATAATAAAAATATAAAACAATACAATTATTGTAAAACAATAAAATTATTATTCTTGGTTCTTTCGGTAAAGTCACCACGTGGAAGGGAAACAATTAAATAATAAAAAATATAAAATAATAAAATTATTGTAAAACAATAAAATTATTATTCTTGGTTCTTTCGGTAAAGTCACCACGTGCAAGGGAAACAATAAAATAATAAAAATATAAAACAATAAAATTATTATTCTTGGTTCTTTCGGTAAAGTCACCACGTAGAAGGGAAACAATAAAATAATAAAAATATAAAACAATACAATTATTGTAAAACAATACAATTATTATTCTTGGTTCTTTCGGTAAAGTCACCACCACGTAGAAGGGAAACAATAAAATAATAAAAATATAAAACAATACAATTATTGTAAAACAATAAAATTATTATTCTTGGTTCTTTCGGTAAAGTCACCACCACATAGAAGGGAAACAATAAAATAATTAAAAATGTATAAAGCAATACAATTATTGTGAAACAATAAAATTATTATTCTTGGTTCTTTCGGTAAAGTCACCACGTGCAAGGGAAACAATAAAATAATAAAAATATAAAACAATAAAATTCTCACGACGTTTCGACTGCAACACCAAGCAGCAATCATCATCAGGTGTGAAAACCACGGCAAGAAAATTTGAACAAAGTGGCGGGTTTTTCTAACGTCAGCACCACGGAGAGCGATTTGACAGTTTGTTCAGATGGACGAGTCCATCTACGTTCGGAAAAGAGGAGGGGGGGAGACGAAAAATAATGGATGCGGTCTGAAAGCCACCGTAAGCGTGAACAATCAATTAAGACCTGAAATGGTTGATCAAATCCTTCCAATGATTGCTAAGCCAGAATCCATCTTCTCGGTTGAAATTGTCTCCGTGCTTGTATATGTGGATAGCCTCATGAACGAATCTCTCATGGTAGCCAGATGGCTTGCAAAGAACCTCTGTCTTGGAGAAGTCAATGTCATGTGAGCCTACTGAATTATAACAATGATCTGCCACGGCCGAGGTGTTGGTATCTACCGTGTTTAAGGTCTGCTTTGTGTTCACGAATGCGGTCCGAGACATGTCGTTTGGTTTCTCCAATGTAACTACTACCACAGAGGCAACTTAGATTGTAGACGCCAGGGTACTGTATGTCCGGAATCACATCTTTTACAGATGCAACCAGGTCACGGATTTTATGTAATGTGTTGAATCGGACCTGGATCTTGTGTTTATTCAAGATTTTGGAGATCTTTTTTGTGATCCCTGCAATGTAGGGTAAAGTGATGGTTTTGAAAGGCTCCTCAAGAGGGTCCTTCTTCATATGAAGGTTGGAGTGATAGCTTTGCGGATTGTATAGTCGGAATAACCATTAGCCTTAAGAGCTTGGTGTACGTGCTTGAGTTCACTGCCTATGTGTTCCTGGTCGGATATACATTGGGCTCTATGGAGTCTTGATGAGGGAATTCTTCTGGGATGGATGGTGGTGGGAATCCGGTTTCAGGTAAGCATCCATATGGGTAGCTTTCCTGTAGACAGAGTGGCTCATTGAACCATCAGGTCTCTTTTTTATTAGTGATTCCGGACATACAGTACCCTGGCATCTACAAACTAAGTTGCCTCTGTGGTAGTAGTTACATTGGAGAAACCAAACGCCATGTCTCGGACCGCATTCGTGAACACAAAGCAGACCTTAAACACGGTAGGACCAACACCTCGGCCGTGGCAGATCACTGTTATAATACAGTGGGCTCACATGACATTGACTTCTCCAAGACAGAGGTTCTCTGCAAGCCATCTGGCTACCATGAGAGATTCGTTCATGAGGCTATCCACATATACAAACACAGAGACAGTTTCAACCGAGAAGATGGATTCTGGGCTTAGCAATCATTGGAAGGATTTGATAAACCATTTCGGGTCTTCATTGATTGTTCACGCTTACGGTTACCATGAGAGATTCGTTCATGAGGCTATCCACATATACAAACACGGAGACAATTTCAACCGAGAAGATGGATTCTGGGCTTAGCAATCATTGGAAGGATTTGATAAACCATTTCGGGTCTTAATTGATTGTTCACGCTTACGGTTACCATGAGAGATTCGTTCATGAGGCTATCCACATATAGAAACACGGAGACAATTTCAACCGAGAAGATGGATTCTGGGCTTAGCAATCATTGGAAGGATTTGATCAACCATTTCGGGTCTTCATTGATTGTGTTCACGCTTACGGTTACCATGAGAGATTCGTTCATGAGGCCATCCACATATACAAACACGGAGACAATTTCAACCGAGAAGATGGATTCTGGGCTTAGCAATCATTGGAAGGATTTGATCAACCATTTCGGGTCTTCATTGATTGTCCACGCTTATGGTGGCTTTCAGACCGCATCCATTATTTTTCGTCTCCCCCCCTCCTCTTTTCCGAACATAGATGGACTCGAATTTTGATTTAAAGCTTTCGTGACTGCAGTGATTCATATTCTTGGTTCTTTCGGTAAAGTCACGTTGAAGGGAAACAATAAAATAATAAAATATATTTGGCATTTTGTTCAGATGGACTCGTCCACCTGAACAAAATGCCAAATCTCTCTCCCTGGTGCTGATGTTAATAAAAAAAACCCGCCACTTTTTTCAAATTTTCTTGCCGTGGTTTTCACACCTGATGATGATTGCTGCTTGGTGTTGCAGTCGAAACGTCGTGAGAATTTTATTGTTTAATGTTTATTTTAATTTACTTTTTATTTGCATTTACTGGTTTATTTTTCATTTACTTTGCTAATTTTTATTTAATTTTTATTTCCTTCACCACGTTTATTTTGTTGTTTACTTAGTTTATTTCTTACTTACTTTATTTAAAATGTTCTTGTTTATTTTTACCTGCGAACATTTCGTTTGCTTGTTTATTTTCATTTAAACTTTTACTCGTATTTACCCGTTTATTTTCCACTCACTACGTTTATTTTTCCATTAAATTTTCATTTCATCCACGTGCTCAGTTCATCTACTCCCGTTTATTTTTTTCCCATTACCTGGTCTATTTTTTACCCGCCTTATTTTCACCTAGCGTTTATATTTTATTTTTTTATCACCGTTGTTTATGTTTCCCCACCGCCCTCCGCCCTCCGCTCTCCGCCGTAGACTCGGCAGCCTTCAGCGGCTCGCTCGGAGGGCAGCAGCAGCAGCAGCATCAGCAGCAGCAGCAGCATCAGCATCAGCAGCAGCATCAGCAGCAGCATCAGCAGCAGCAACAGCATCAGCAGCAGCAGCAGCAGTCGCCTCTGCTCCCGCCGGCGCCGCGTGACGCCCTCGGCCAATCGGCGGCCTCCGCTCAGCAGCGGCAGGGCGGCCCCGCGGGGGAGGCCTCGGGAGGCCCCGGGAGCAAAGGTCACCACACGGCGAGGCAGCCAATGGGGATGCAGCAGGGGACCGGTGAGACCGGGCTGGAGGCTCGCGGATGACGACCACGACGGTGATGATGATGATGACGATGATGATGATGATGACGGTGATGATGATGATGATGACAGTGATGATGATGATGACAGTGATGACGGTGATGACGGTGATGATGATGATGATGACAGTGATGACGGTGATGACGGTGATGACGATGATGACGGTGATGATGATGACGGTGATGATGACGACGACGGTGATGACGGTGATGACAGTGATGATGATGATGATGACGACGGTGATGACAGTGATGGTGATGACGATGACGACGATGATGACGGTGATGACGGTGATGACGATGACGACTATGATGATGACGATGATGACGGTGATGAAGATGACGACGATGATGACGACGATGATGACGATGATGATGACGATGATGATGATGATTACGATGATGACGGTGATGATGATGACGGTGATGATGATGACGGTGATGACGATGATGATGACGGTGATGGCGACGGTAATGACGACAGTGATGACGATGATGACGATGATGATGACGATGATGACGACGGTGATGATGACGACGATGATGAGGACGACGGTGATGATGGTGATGATGGTGATGACGATGATAATGACGATGACAACGATGACGGTAATGACGACGGTGATGACGACGGTGATGATGACGATGATGACGACGATGATGACGATGATGATGATGATGACGATGATGACGATTCCAACGATGATGACGACGATGATGACGATGATGTTGACGATGATGACGATTCCAACGATGATGATGACGATGATGACGACGATGATGACGATGATGATGATGATGATGACGATGATGACGATTCCAACGATGATGACGACGATGATGACGATGATGATGATGACGATTCCAACGATGATGACGATGATGATGACGATGATGACGACGATGATGACGATGATGATGATGATGATGACGATGATGACGATTCCAACGATGATGACGACGATGATGACGATGATGATGATGACGATTCCAACGATGATGACGATGATGATGACAATGACGACGATGACGATTCCAACGATGATGATGACGACAATGATGACGACGCCTTCGTTAACTCTGCCCCCACCCCCCTCCCCCCCCTCCCACCCCCCAGCTGGCCCATTCCCTGGCCCCCCACACTCGTCGCTGCAGGGGAGACCGCCCGCACCCAGCCTGCAGCCCCCCACTGTGGGGGCCCCCCACATCGCCCAGACGGTCGACGCAGCCCCCCACACGGAGCCCGGAACCGCACTGAGCGGAATCAGCGGCGGTGCGAAGCAACCAGCACCGGCACCACCGGCACCACCGGCACCACCGGCACCACCGGCACCACCACCACCACCACTCCTCAACGCGTATCCACAGCTCCCACAGCCAGGTACAGGGTCTCTATGTGGTGAGTCTATGGGTCTCTGTGTGGTGAGTCTATGGGTCCCTGTGTGGTGAGTCTGTGGGTCTCTGTGTGGTGAGTCTATGGGTCTCTGTGTGGTGAGTCTGTGGGTCTCTGTGTGACGAGTCTATGGGTCTCTGTGTGGTGAGTCTATGGGTCTCTGTGTGATGAGTCTGTGGGTCTCTGTGTGGTGAGTCTGTGGGTCTCTGTGTGGTGAGTCTGTGGGTCTCTGTGTGGTGAGTCTGTGGGTCTCTGTGTGATGAGTCTATGGGTCTCTGTGTGGTGAGTCTGTGGGTCTCTGTGTGGTGAGTCTATGGGTCTCTATGTGGTGAGTCTATGGGTCTCTGTGTGGTGAGTCTGTGGGTCTCTGTGTGGTGAGTCTGTGGGTCTCTGTGTGGTGAGTCTGTGGGTCTCTATATGGTGAGTCTATGGGTCTCTGTGTGGTGAGTCTATGGGTCTCTGTGTGTGGTGAGTCTGTGGGTCTCTGTGTGGTGAGTCTGTGGGTCTCTGTGTGGTGAGTCTATGGGTCTCTGTGTGGTGAGTCTGTGGGTCTCTGTCTGATGAGTCTGTGGGTCTCTATGTGATGAGTCTATGGGTCTCTGTGTGGTTAGTCTATGGGTCTCTGTGTGGTGAGTCTATGGGTCTCGGTGTGGTGAGTCTGTGGGTCTCTGTGTGATGAGTCTGTGGGTCTCTGTGTGGTGAGTCTATGGGTCTCTGTGTGGTGAGTCTGTGGGTCTCTGTGTGGTGAGTCTGTGGGTCTCTGTGTGGTGAGTCTGTGGGTCTCTGTGTGATGAGTCTATGGGTCTCTACGTGATGAGTCTATGGGTCTCTGTGTGGTGAGTCTGTGGGTCTCTGTGTGGTGAGTCTATGGGTCTCTGTGTGGTGAGTCTATGGGTCTCTATGTGGTGAGTCTATGGGTCTCTGTGTGGTGAGTCGGTGGGTCTCTGTGTGGTCAGTCTGTGGGTCTCTGTGTGGTGAGTCTGTGGGTC